GCGTAGGTAAGTTTTACTTTTTTTTTTTTTGGCTGACATAACTTTGATGTGACTTTAAAAAAAACAAACAAACAAAAAACATGGTTTCATTCCCTTTTTAAGTCTTTGTGGGGATGCTCTTGGAAAGGTATGAAAAAGAAAATCCGCTTTTTGGTGGGGGACCCGAAATCTTATAAGAATGCCCAGAAGGGGTTTAATATTTCAAGCCAGGACCCGTTGGCTATTGGTGGGTCTTGCCTTACTATTCAGTTTAATGTTGTTCATGTACCTGCTTGAGTGTGCTCCACAAACAGATGGCAATGGATCTCTGCCTGGTGTTGTAGGGGAGAACTTGGGTAAAGAATATTACCAAGCTCTTCTCCAGGAACAAGAGGAACACTATCAAACCCGGGCTACTAGTCTGAAGCGTCAGATTGCTCAGCTAAAACAAGAGCTTCAGGAAATGAGTGATAAGCTGAAATTGCTGCAGGAAAAAAAGAGCCTAAGAGTCAATGGCATGGGCTACCAAGACACCAAAGAACAAGCATCCAATGATCTCCTAGAGTTTCTTCATTCCCAAATTGACAAGGCTGAGGTGAGCATCGGGGCCAAGCTACCTAGTGAATATGGTGTCATTCCTTTTGAAAGCTTTACCTCCATGAAAGTGTTCCAGTTAGAGATGGGGCTCACTCGACACCCAGAGGAGAAACCTGTTAGAAAGGATAAGCGAGATGAGTTGGTGGAAGTTATTGAGGCTGGCCTAGAGGTAATCAATAATCCAGATGAAGAAGATGGACAAGATGATGATGATGATGAAGGAATAGGAGAGAGACCGCTCTATAATGAAAATGATTTCATAGAAGGTACCGTAAAAGCTTATTTAATAATTTACGCATTTCCCAATCAGCTGCACAGAATGTCATCATACACCATGAATAATTGCAAAGGAATTTATGGTTGTAAAACAAAATTGATAGCTTTTTTCATGTCTTTATAGTTTTGATAGATACTCTAATATGTAGTACTTTTGCTGCACTAAGAAAAACCTTAGACTTGGTTTGCCTGTTGTAGTAGAATCTGTTGCTTCATAATATTGCACAATACCATGCATTGATGGGGGGGGGGGGAGGGGAGTAATAATTTCAGTGGAGATATTTTACTATAGCAAGCAGACAAAACAAGCTGTGCCCGTTTGAATTTTAACAGTTGGATATCCCATGGTTGAAGATCATTTTGCATATGTTGTGCTGATGTAGATATAAAATGGTACCTAATACTGAAGAGGAGCTTTCAAAGGCACATAGGGCAGTTAGGTGCCCAGCTCCCTTTGAAGGTCATGAGACTTGATTGCCTAGCTTCCCTTTCTGCCTTTGAAATTCTCCATTTAACTTTGTCCCTTTGTATCCGTTATGACTAGATAACTGTAAACCGCAGGTAGGTGAAGAGGTCTATATTAATGTCACAATGCAAACTAGTTGCCAGTATTTAAAACATTGGCACATGCACCTGTATTGGGGGTGGGGGTGGGGGAAAGAGTGGTATTTATAGAGTAACTTACCTTTGTTAGAGTATTTGGTTGCTGAGTATCTATGGGTAGATCTTCAGATGGCATAAAATAGCACAGCTCTATTAGTCAATGAATCTATGCAGAGTTAAACCAGCTCAGGATCTGGTCCCTGATGTGCAAAACCTGAAACCAGATTACTCAAACATATGACTTTTAAAATGCTGGCATTATTAAATTTGTTAAATTCTCAGAAACCCAGGGGTAGGGGAGAGAAGATGAATGTTATTTCAGCTGCAAAACACTGAAGCAATGATATATGAACATTGCCTTTTCAAGGCTGATATACTGAAAAGATACAGTGACCACTATTTCTCTAGAACTCAGTCTTGAAGGTACTCTATACTAAAATGTAATTCTGATGGAAATATTAAGATTTTTTTTATACAGGCTTACAGTATTAAATGCAGTACATATTGCCAGAAAAAGTCAGAAGTGAATAATGCTTTAGAGCTAATTCTTGTATTTTCAAGCATACCAAAATGAGTAGTGATGTATGATATATAGTTAAGCAAATACATACATGAGAATGCTACACAGTTGTTGAAAGAGTTAACATTTTTTAGTCAGATGACTTAATCAGCTCCAAAACGAATCTGCTTCTCATGAATGGAATAGTGCAGTGGTGTTTTGCCTAACCAGTACTCTATTAAAACTTCCAAGTAAAGTTCCTTTGTTATCTTGTGGGGGTGCGGAGTGGAAATGCATCTAAAGTATAGCTCTAAAGCCGGGCAATGCAGCGTTGGACTTTAAAGTTTTTTTCACCTGAAAGCATGTTTTCATTTGCCTAGAGACATTCTCACAATGTCATTTTACAGTTCTGTTTTTCTTTTAAATTACTATAATGTGTGCAGCGGCTTTCCTCTAATACATATAGTGTGCACTTCAGTGGGTATTTGTAGCTTTTCTGATAGCCACATCTAATGACTATAGTGGGGCGGGCAAACTTTTTGGCCTGAGGGCCACATCAGGATTCTGAAATTGTATGGAGGGCCGGCTGTGCCTCCCCAAACAGCCAGGTGTGGCCTGGCCCCCGCCCCCATCCGACCCCCCCCCACTTCTTGCCCCCGACGGCCCCCCGGGACTCCTGCCCCTCCACCCCATCCCCTGACCACCCCTGGACCCTCTGCCCCTGACTGCCCCCCGAGACCTCTGTCCCCATTCGGGACCCCTGCCTCCATTCAACCCCGCTGTTCCCCGCCCTCTGACCGCCCTGACCCCTATCCACTCCCCCCCCCCCGCGCCGAACTCCCCTACTCTCTATCCCCCCCCCCCCCACTCCTTGGCCTCTTACCGCAGTGGCAGGCGGCGCTACAGCCGTGCTCCCCAGAGCACCAGGACAGGCAGCCATGCCGCCTGGCTGGAGCCAGCCATGCCATTGTGCAGCACAGAGCACTAGGTCAGGCCACGGTTTTGCAGCTGCGCTGCCGCTCAGAACATTGTGCTGGCGGCGCAGTGAGCTGAGACTGCGCGGGAGGGCGAACAGCAGGGGAGGGGCTGGGGGCTAGCAGCTCAGGGGCCGGGCAGGAGGGTCCTGTGGGCCAGATGTGGCCCGCGGGCTGTAGGTTGCCCACCTCTGAACTATATAGGCCTCTGAGAAAGCAAGTAGACATAGTGCCTTATGAAACAAAGTTCTACTCCTCCCTTCACCTCTTTACCCTAGATAAATTGACAATTAGTTCCTAAAGAACATCTTTCTCTTTGGAAATTGAACTTATTCCCTCTGTGGTCAAGACAGTGTTTTATGACTTGGATTACAGGAATCACATAACCATTATTCAGTACTTAAGTGGAAATATTTTTGTGCTGTAGGTCATTATATTAGGGTATGTTAGTTACTAGCCACAGTAATGTAACACTGTTTCCTTTCAACCAGAGATTGTACCTATACAAGTCACCCTATGGTTTCCTATGCATGTGAAAATAGCATTGGCGGACTTGAGAAACTTTTTGGCCAGCTGAAGAGAAATTTTCTTTGAGCATTAACTATTTTGACTTCAAATTTCAGAACTAAACCTTTTTAATTTTTTGTCCCTTTCAAGGACTTCAGTGTTTTACTTTATAACTTGTCATTTTGTTGATGGAAGCCCCGTTAGAAAGCCGCTGCCATTATATTTGGGAAATACAGTGCTCAATTATAACCGCTTAAGCCTGAGCGCTTATGATGGATGTCAGACCTCATTGTCCCTTTTCTAAAATAACAGTAAATGCATTTGTCACTGTTTCTATCCTAAAATAATAATAAATGCTCTTAATGTCGGTCTAGAAATTGTATCCCGATAACAAGGTTTCTCTGCGAAGCTTTTAATCGCTTTATTTAAATTGGCTTTAATGGATTGTTTCTGTATTGACAAATATTTTGGCACCTAAACTGATGTATCATCATCAACAGTTGAACTCCAATCTAAGATTCTAATGAGATATTTAGAACCAGAAACAAATTTAAGCAGATTGGGTCAGATGACTGGGAAACTGATATTTGATAGTATGGAAGATCTGAAAACAATAGAATTGATTACTTTAAGTTTAAGGGAAACCGAATGGCTTTGTATTGTCTATTTCAGCCCCATTGAGTTACCAAGATTTAGTAGACAGACTGAATTTAAAGAAAAACCTAATTTTACAAGCATAATTATACCAAAATGACACAAACAAAATAGGAAAAAAGGCATTTTACTGTGAAGTAAGTGTCCACACAGGGAGTTTAGTGGTATAACTTCCTGTGTAGACAAGACCTTCTTTAGTAAGTATCTAAACTTTTTTCTAAACTTCTGTTTATGAAGTATCACTTCATTTTTATTTTTGAGCTGTGCTTTCTCTTGTGTGCTTCCGGATATGTACATACTGGACATTTAATTTTTAAATATTTGCTCAGGTCTCTTTTTTTAATAAGGCTTCAAAGTCTCATGCAGACCATTGCCATCTCCCTTACTATCATCTTTTCTTCCCCTCACCTCTTGAACTTGCACTGAATTTTTTTTACAACCTAGCTTTTTTTAATCTGTGGTACAGTGGTACATAATCAAGAAATGAAAACAATCATAATGTTATACATCTGCGAAATCTCAGTTCCTGTTAAATCTTGGGGCATATCTACATGAGGACACTCAGGGACAGTCATATTTCATTAAGTAAGGGTTGAATTTAAAATGCATTAGCTAAAAGCACATTAAAGCCTTGTGAACGCTGTCATTCTGTGCAAAGCTGAAGTGAATTAAGGCCAGTTTAATTCACTTCCAAAGGGAATTAAGCTAAGGCCACTTTACTTCTGAATGAGCTCATCCACACAGCTGTAATGCACTTTAAAAATGCATTTTAAATTCAACCCGTTAGTTAATTCAGCATAACTTTCCCGAGTGTCACCATGTCCTTTTCCTCAGTGTGTGTGTGTGTGTGTGTGAGAGAGAGAGAGAGAATCTAGCATTTTCAAAGAGTATACTTTCTAATAATATAGTGTATATAGTTAATGAAATTTGTATGTAGTGTGGATTCCCAGTGGGGCTGACCATATGGCCATAAAAGCTTCACACAGAAGCCATAATACTTGCCAAATATGATAGACTGCCTTGGTACTACTCTCCTTTTCCAACTCCTATTTTCTGCATTTTACTAATCCTTCAGTTCTTTGGTATCCTTTTGCTGGTGTGTTCTAGCATTTCATGTTCTTCCTGTTGCCATGCCTTCCATGTCTGATTCAAGCAGCCTGTGCTGTTGAGCAGTTAGCTTGAAGTATATTTTCTAAAGCAAGGCAAATGGTTTTCAGAGGTGTGTCTCTGATATCAAATCTGGTATCACATCATGTCAGTGAATGTGCACTTGAGCTCAGCACCAGCTTGTGGCATCTTTGCTATTGATGGGGCCAGATCAAGAAAATAGTAAAAGGAAATTGCAGAGCTGTACATTGAAACTGTAAAATAATATGGTGAATGCCACAAGTAACTTTAGGTAGAGAAATAATCACCCGGCTTTGCTGGTGGTGAGAGAGCTACCAGAAAACCCTGCTGCGGTCTGGAGGTGGCCGATAGGACTGTTTAATATGTCCTTATTTTGTATCTCCCAAAGACATAAAATTAATAGTGACCCGTCAAAGTAATATGTAAGAGAACATAACCTGATTCAGATGAAAGTGTTTATTTTTTTTAAAGTTGTATAGTGGCTTCTTTATTTTAAACTGAATTCCTTTTATCATCCCCTCACCTGAAATATCTGATGGCTCCTGGGCTTGGCAGAGTGAACTATTGTGGATAGCGTTCACAAGAAGAGTAAAGTGTATGTCTCACATGGATAAGAGCTGCTGAA